TGAGCCATACTTACAAGCTCTTTGAACGCCTCATCCTCAACAGACTTGGTCCTGCAATAGATGAACACCTCATCCCAGAACAAGCTGGATTCCGCCCAGGGAAGTCAACAACCAGCCAAGTACTCAACCTCACTCAGCACATCGAGAATGGTTTTGAGGAAGGTTTGGTAACTGGCGTCGTGTTCGTCGACCTCTCCGCAGCTTATGACACAGTCAACCACAGGTGCCTCCTCCATAAGATCTTGGATATCACCAAGGACATCCGCCTGACTGAGCTGATTGAAAGCATGCTGGAGAATAGGTTCTTCTTTGTGGAACTAGGTGATTAGAGGAGCAGATGGCGAAGATTAAGGAATGGCCTCCCACAGGGGAGTGTTCTTGCTCCGCTTCTTTTTAACATCTATACTAGTGACCAACCAAGTACTGATGGTACTCGTCGCTTCATCTATGCAGATGATTTGGGCATAAGTGCACAACATGCTGACTTTGAGGTTGTGGAAGAACAACTTTCGAAAGCCTTGGAAGAGTTAACACCCTACTACCAAGCAAATCACCTTCGTGCCAATCCATCGAAGACACAGGTGTGCGCCTTCCATTTACGCAACCGAGAAGCAAAGAGGCAACTACAGGTGGTCAGGCACATCCCTTGAGAACTGTGATCATCCAGTGTACCTTGGAGTCACCTTGGATCGCACCCTCTCCTTCAAAAACCACGTGGAGAAGACAAAGAGCAAGGTGTGCTCAAGAAACAACATCCTGAGCAAACTCATTGGCACTACCTGGGGAACCAGACCACAGACAATAAGATCAACTGCCCTAGCACTCTGCTACTCTGCTGCAGAATATGCATGCCCTGTGTGGGAAAGGTCAACACATGCAAAGAAGATTGATACTGCTCTAAACGCCTGTTGCCGCCAGATTACTCGATGTCTCCGAGCAACACCTACAGACAGCCTACACATACTGGCAGGCATAGCTCCCCCTGATATCAGACGTCAGGTAGCAAGCATGAAGCAGCGTAGTCGCCAAACTGAAGATGTACGTCATCCTGTCTTCAACCAGACTCCAGCAGCTAACCGCCTGAAGTCAAGGAAGAGCTTCCTGAGAAGCGTCGATCCTCTTGTAACATCTCCAGCTAGCACAAGAGTTGCCTTGTGGGAGGAAAGAATACCAAACCGCCCAGCAACAACATCCTTGGCACTGAAGCCTCAGGAAGAGCTCCCACCTGGAGCTGACACCAAGTGGACTGAGTGGAAGTGCCTCAACCGCCTCAGTGAATATGAATTCCTCTTTCAAATGATGTGTGATCCAGAAATATTTGTCATTGTGTACTCGATATGCTTTCAATTTAACGTTTGAAAACGGTCCTTTTGCTGCGTATTTACCACACGTTTAATTGTAACAAACCAAATGAGCGCTATGTTCCGTTATGAAATGGATTGGGTTCCATCTTCTGAAATTATCATTACATGCATATCTGATGTCTTGTTCTGAACGACACAAACACAGCATACGTTTTAGGCTATGTGCATATTGTAAAAAAGTTCCTCCCTCTCTTACGTTTTGTAAATAAGAAGTAAAAAGACCTCATCGATATTAAACTTGCTTTAACTGAGTTAGGCCAAAAAAAAAATAAGTCGGTCTCTGGTCAGCGCGTGCGTCGATTTTAATCATGCGCGTCGATCCCAAAATGTTCCGCGGTAGCTCCAACAGCGCCCTCTATTTCCGCACCTCCTCAATTTTTTTTACCAAAGAGCACCAAGGAATGGGAAATTGCACCAAGGCAAATGATTGAAAGCACCAAGGCAAATTATGGAGGAAACCAATGTACATGAGGACACCAAAAAAGCAAAATAGTACCCCACCTTGTCTGTACAATCCAAGCTTGAAGAAAAAAGAAAACAAAGCAAAAAAAAAAAAAAAAGCCGCGTGGCCGCGTCAATTCCGGAACTTTGGTCTGACCAGAGACCAAATATTTTTTTTGTTGGCCTTAGAGTCACAACTACCGTCACAAATCTGCTGCCTTATTTCTTATAAATTCTCAAAAGCACTCCTGCCGGATCCTGTTTGGAAAAAAAAAAATGACCAGGAGATGGCTCCTTGGCTTACAATCTGTTAAGAGATGTCAGCAGCATCATTCCAGTGCTAAGACCCTGAAATGGTCATTGATTTGTATGATGTACTTGATTTCACTTTAAATTTTGGAGTGAAAACATTAGGTTTAATCCACAGAAAGAATGCTCCATTTTCCATTTTGCCTTTTATAATGGCGACCTTCATATACATGTAGAAGGATTGACTGATGTCAGTCGGGGATGAATTAGTCATGAAAATCAACATAATAATTCGCAAAGAAACAATGATTGATATGGCATGCCCACAAAAGTATTAGATAGTCAATAACTGCATTTTCTCTTCACAAAATTATGTCACCTAGGGGAGAATATGTGATTGGAAAATGACCAGTAACTGGCAAGTAGGCCTATGTAGACCTAGGAGACTATGAGAAAATACCGTAGTTGATGGTCCCCATATATGACATAATGAGTCTGACTGAGTTTTCTGTGGGCGTGTGCATATCAGCCTGCCTCCCTGCCGTCACCTGACCAGGGATCCAGATCCTTACCCCCGTTGCTGTATACACATCAACAACCTAGGAACTACTCACGTAGTGACCATCACATTATTTATTTGGCCAACAAATGAAACAAGTACAAGACAAAGCAAATATTTATCATAAAGTAAACAAAAACTGAAATTTGAAAAGGAACCAATAATGTGAAAAGGAAAGTATGACCAGACAAGACTGGCGTGACTGAAGGATGTGAGAAGGAAGGGAGTTGGACAGTTTTTTCTGTGTAGCCACGATAATAAAATCATTATGCTCCTGCAGGTCTTTGGTATGTGTATGCGTGAACTACATACACCCCGAGGACCGACAGACAAAGGCAGAACAACAGATTCTTTGTTGACCTCGATCGTTCACCTTTTGTTGAAAATGGTCCTCGATCGTACGTTGATGTGCTTTGTCTATGGGAGAGACAAAGGAAAAGACAGTTGTTTGTCTTTGGGCGTTATAAATATAAAACACGAGTGTGTAGTCTGTGTCTGTGTCAAGTTTCATTAGAACACAAGTTTCGGAAAACTACCAAAGTGACGTTTAAATATAACATGTACAAAGTCTATGGAAAAAAAACATAAAAAACAAACAAAAACCTAAACTTATGTCTGTTTATGCATGGTCTAATGTTTGAACTTTTAATAGTATTCATACCGTTTTTACAGCACCCACAAAAATGACGAAAGGAAAAGATACCAGTACAAAGCGTACAGGTATCTGTATGACCTACCAAAGCTATTACAAAACTTTACAATGTAGTGTTTGCAACATATAACATCAAGGTTAAAAATTTCAAAAATCTTTAAAAACCTCCAAATGACTTCATCATGACAATACTTAATTTTTTGTTTGTTTTACATATAACAAGTCATTGCCAATCAACAAAGTTTCAACCATGATGCACCTCTAGTTTGTAGATATACAGGGTGTTTCAAAAAAAAGGAAACCGAGCTATTTTGTTGATTTCTCGGGTATGATTAATTATTTAGGAAAATGGTAACCACCACGTGTTACATAACAATGTTTTCTTTTTCTTGACACCACGAACTCCATTTTACGGTCACGGATGACTGAGCACCAAGTGATGTAACTGACATGCCAGAAATGGCCTTGTACCACATGCACCATAAGACCAATTGACAGTTTTCAGCATGTTGAAAATAACAAAATCCAGGACATACATTATCAAAGTCATTTTTCAATTGCTAAAACATATCAAGGTTAATCACTGTCAACGTTAACCCAACTGTCCTCCAACATGCCCCCCATTCCTTTCAACACAAATCTCTGCCCTGGTTCTCATTGCTGTGAATGCATTCCTGATAACTCTCTCTCTGATAACTGTCAATTGGTCTTATGGTGCATGTGAATCCCGGGACATACCGTTATTTCGTTTTACCGTTTTGCATTTCCTCAAAACAAAAACAGTAAACAAACCATTGACCGTTTTGTCGTTTTACAGTTTTGTAAAACGGTCAAACGGTATCAAGATAAATACGGTTTCTCTGTTTTATAAGTTTAATAAAATTCATTACAGCATAACGATCAATGATTTTTGTTTTACAGTTTTACACAAATAACTTTGAAAAACAGCAAAACGGTCAGTATTGAATACAGACTGTTTTTTTTTATTTCAGTGTCATAGTGAACAGTCCGTGGTGCATTTTGTGGTGCTGGGCAAGGGGGATGGAGGGGGACCATGCTTTACATGAAAAAGTGTTACCTCGGCATAATGCGTGGTGTGATGATTCCTGGCGTGACCCTGACCCCCTTCTCACGCGATTCAGTTGGTGGGGCTTAAGAGTTGCAAGCAAAAATGGCGCTCAGTGGAAAACTTCAAGGGAGGACATTACTTTTTACAATGGATACAGGATGGTAATACGTTTGAAGAAGTTGCAGATATTTGAAGGAAATTGGAGTTCGGCGCGGCTCTTCAATAGCCAGTTCGAAAACTATGTCGTGAGAACGAAATGTGAGGAGGGTAATTTGGGTCCCATCAGGCAATGACTCGATCCCATGAGGACGCATTAACATTCCTAGGTGCATTGCTTAATTGCCGAACCTAAATCAAAAAATGGTCGACATGACTATTGACCGTTTTTCATTGTCATGTTCTTTTAAAACAACACTCTGAAATGAAGCAACTAACCGTTTATCGCTTTCAACAATTAAGAAAAACAACAAAAAGGTCATTGTTTTTTGTGACCTAATACCGTTTGACCGTTTTACAAAACTGTAAAACGAAAAAACGGTCAACGGTGCGTTTACTGTTTTTGTTTTTGAGGAAATGCAAAACGGTAAAACGAAATAACGGTATGTCCCGGGATTCATGTGGTACAAGGCCATTTTTGACATGTCAGTTACATCACTTGGTGCTCAGTCATCCGTGACTGTAAAATAGAGTTTGTGGTGTCAAGAAAAAGAAGACATGGTTATGCAACAGATGGTGGTTACCTAAATAATTAGTCATACCCGAGGAATCAACAAAATGAGCTCTTTCCTTTTTTATGAAACACCCTGTATAGGACAACGAAAAAAATGCACATTTGGGATGTCATGCAACACATGACTTCATTATGCACACTTTCATCATTCTTTGCCTGTGCCAAGTTTGATCATGTCATTGTTCTGAATCTTGAAATTGCCTATCAGAAAAATGCTTTCAATATCTAAGAAAAACAATACATTTCTTAACAAAAACAGTATTTTTTCCGCAACTATACCAAAGACAATCCTGAAATAAAATATGAAATTTTCCACAAACTTTACGCATAGGCCAATTAGAACCCCCAAAAGTTAAATAGAACAGCAAACAAACAAGTTTGGGACTTGGATGGGGCTTTCTTCTCAAACCATTTAGACACTGTAATTTGCAGTGTTTCCAAAAATATCAAAGGCATCTACATCTACACACTTTGTGCACAGAAGATCAGATTTTTTTTGCAGCATTCACACAGAGCAATCAGTTCAAAGAAATGCACGATCAAATTCCAGTTCTCACAATTGTTTGAATACTGTTTCTCCTGAATAGAACAAATAAACTTGTAGTCAGCAGGGTAACTGCAAAAATGGCAGTTAGGCGCCTACCAATCCTTGGCATATCTTCTGAATCAAGGATCAAATCTGCAGGCAGTACCGTCTCGGAGTTGGTTGCCTGAAAGAAACAATGCATTGCAAACATTAAGTTAATATGAACTTACTCTTATTGCTCTTTTCACCATGCAAACCTTCAAATCTTATTACACATTAACCAAATGGCCATTGATATTTGGAAAAGGGGGAGGGGGTGCTAATAACAACCCTAAACCTAAAGTGAAAATTCCCGTTAAAAATCCAGGAACTTTTTTATACCAGAAGCTGTGGGTGACACTGGGATATGGCTCTCCACTCCTCTACAAGTGTCAGCTGTCTGATATTTTTGGGCTGGTTTAATGTTCAATGGGTGACCGTTGACATGTCTGGGTAAATGGAGCCCTCTGTACCAATTGCTCATTCGGATGCACCTACACAATCCTGGCAACATGTGTCCTATCAATGTCCCACTACATTAGAGTGAACTCTGCATGTTGTCTGATGAAGGTCTGATGAAGCTCTGCAGCACTTCTTAGATTTGCGTCCCAACAATTATCCACACACACGTACCCTTCTCCACCTATATAGCCAAACTTCTGCTCAGGCTTAACGACAAACACTGTCTTCAGATGAAGGGGGTTGTTATGGGGAACCTGCATTGGACTATCCTATGCCTGCCTTTTTGTAGCAGAAGAGTGAATGATGACTGACTGCCAAGGTCATAAATCCCTACTGTACATGCTGTACTTTAGGAGGAGATGACTAATTTCATTGATTTTGCCATAATACCACCCGTTCTTTTTTTGTTCGCTGTCTCTGAGTGGTGCCAATGTAGAATTCACCATGTACCATCGGGCTAATACCGCAGTTGCAACCCATCCCTGAAGGGCAGACGGTCCTAAAATTTGGCTGCTATGTTATTGAGCACTGTTATCTTAATTATCTTATGCAGTTTACAGGCATGTAACTTGGAAAAACAAAAAACGAGGAAACTCCAATCTTTATGAGGAGAAATGTATTATAACATGAGGAATGCACTCTAAGGCAGGGAGTGCCATAAGTGCAAAATATAATGGGTGTAGTATTTTGGTGTAAGACACATAGCTTGCCAGTAACTTTTGCGATGTAAGATTCAGTGTTTTATTGTCCAAAGTTGTTGTTGAGTTAGACACTCTCAGATCTGCTGCTACTGAGTCCTCACCTTGATCGTATTGCAGCGGCTTGTGTATCTCAAGGATTCCAAAGGCTATGCTGACTGGAGGCTTGCCTCCTGAAAGGTACAACCATGTCAGACAGGTTTTGGAAGAGATCAGAGGAAAATGAGACTCCTGGTCCTCCAGGTTGGGGGGTGTGTGCAGGGCCAACTCCCCTGCCACGTAAAAAACAAGTTGTTACAGAAACATCAACGAAAGCTGCTATGGAGGCTCCTTGACCATTATGGATGGCATACCACAGAAGTTCACCAACCTCATCAAAAACACCTACGAGGGAATGTCATGCAGAGTTATACACGACAGTCAGCTTACCTAGGGTTTCAAAGTGAAGACGGGAGTTCGCCAAGGCAAGCGAGGAACCATGATGCCTGGTAATCAAAGCCATGAGGAAGTTACTAGTCCAACAGCCCTACTCAGTTCCAAGACAACCAGAACTTTAGGTACATGGAACGTAAGGACTATGTACGAAGCAGGAAAGACCACACAGGTAGCAGCAGAAATGAGGAGGTACAACATCGCCATCCTAGGACTAAGCGAAACCAGGTGGATTGAAGCAGGTACCAAGAGACTTACATATGGAGAAACTCTACTCTATTCGTGACATGAAAGGGACAATGCACCACACACAGAAGGAGTAGGGATCATGCTTACAGAAGAAGCAAACAGGGCCCTCCTGCGATGGGAAGCACATGGACCAAGGATCATCACAGCATCCTTCCGAACAAAGAAGAAGGGTATAGTACTGCAGGTCATTCAGTGCTATGCGCCAACCAATGACAAGGATGAGGAGACCAAGGAGAGGTTCTACCGACAACTCCAGGCCATCATAGACAAGACAAATTGCAAAGACATCACAATACTAATGGGTGACTTTAACGCTTAAGTTGGAGCAGTAAACAGGGGATACGAAGAAGTAATGGGGATACACGGACTGGGCCGGATGAATGACAGTGGAGAGATGTTTGCCAACCTATGTGCAATGAACAACCTGGTAATTGGTGGCACAGTATTCCCACATAAGAGGATACCCAAGGCCACCTGGATGTCACCCGACCATAAGACAGAGAACCAGATTGATCATATCTGCATCTGAAGGTCACTCTTGGATGTGAGAGTGAAGAGAGGAGCAAACGCAGCCTCAGACCACCACCTTGTCACAGCAAGAGTGAAGCTAAAGTTAAAAGTAGGATGGGACACAACCCGGAAGAAAGTTCAAAAGAGACGAAAAAGAAAACAGGCACTGAACAACAGCCGCACAAGAGCAACAAAAGCAGAAGCCCAGAAGCGATACACAGAGGAAAACAAGGAAGTGAAGAAAAGTGTCAGAGCAGACAAGATAGCCTACATCGACACCTTGGCGAGAGAGGCAGAAGAAGTAGCTGCAATAAAGGACATGAGGAAGCTGTAACACCACCAAGAATCTGACTGGGAAATATCAGCAGACCGACTGACCTATCAAGAACAAGGATGGCCAGGTACTGACAGACACAGGGGAGCAGATAAAGAGGTGGGCTGAGCACTTTGAAGAACTCTTGAATCGGCCAGCCCCACAGACCTCAATCGAGATACCACCAGCTGAAACAGCCCTCCAAGTCAACTTGTCACGCCCAAGCAAAAGGGAGATCAAGAAAAAGGGAGATCAAGAAGGCCATCAGCTGCCTGAACAGCGGGAAGGCAGCGGGACCGGATGAAATTCTGGCCGAGGCTATCAAGGCAAACATGGACACATCAACAGAAATGATGCATAGGCTACCGGGCAATATCTGGGAGACTGAGGTACTGAAGTACCCAAGGAATGGAAGGAAGGATACTTGGTGAAGTTACCACAGAAAGGAGACCTACGTGAGTGTAAGAACTACCAAGGGATTATGCTCCTCTCAGTGCCAGGAAAGATACTGAACCGGATCATCTTGGAGAGGCACAAGGAAGCAGTGGACAAACAACTCAGAGACCAACAGGCAGACTTCTGAAGAGATCGTTCATGTACTGACCAGATCCCTACTCTTTGCATCATCGTGGAACAGTCCATAGAATGGAACTCTTCTTTGTTTATCAACTTTATCGACTACGAGAAAGCCTTTGACAGTGTTGACCTAGATGTGCTACGGAGGCTCCTTGACCATTATGGATGGCATACCACAGAAGTTCACCAACCTCATCAAAAACACCTACGAGGGAATGTCATGCAGAGTTATACACGACAGTCAGCTTACCGAGGGTTTCAATGTGAAGACGGGAGTTCGCCAAGGCTGCCTTCTTTCCCATTTCTATTTCTAATCGTGATCGACTGGATCATGACACGTACCAAGGAAGGAAGAAGAAATGGGATACAATGGACACCCTGGGTACAGCTAGACAACCTCAACTTTGCAGACAACCTCGCCCTCCTTTCTCACACACAAAGACAGATGCAGGATAAGTCCAACACCCTAAAAGAAGAATCAGCACCAATTGGGATGGGGATTCACGGCGGCAAGACCAAACTACTGACAGTGAATGCTGCTGGGAACACAGGAATGTACTCTTGGCGGTAAAGCTTTGGAGGAAGTGGACTGCTTCGTCTACCTGGGCAGCATCATCGACAAGCAGGGTGGCACAGATAATGATGTCACTGCAAGAATCGGTAAGGCGCGAACAACATTCCTAATGCTGTCTAAGGTTTGGAGCTCGACAAAGTACTCTACCCCCACCAAGATCCGAATCTTCAACTCAAACGTCAAGTCAGTCTTACCCTATGGCTCAGAGACATGGCAAACCACAAAAAAAGATAATGAAGAAGATCCAAACATTTGCAAACAAATGTCTGCGAAGAATCCTCCACATATACTAGCAGCAACATGTCTCAAACCAGGAACTGTGGAGGAGAGCTCAACAAACCCCAATTGAGGAGGAAATCCTGAAGCGCAAATGGAGGTGGATCGGCCACACTTTAAGGAAGCCGATTTCAAGCATCACCAGACAAGCCTTGACTTGGAATCCACACTGGAAAAGAAATAGAGGAAGACCAAAGAACACCTGGCAGCGAGACACAATGGCTGATGTGCCATTAGGCATCATCAAGGAATTAAGTAAGTAAGAAGATATTTTTTTGGGGGGGGGGGGTAAGCAATATCTTTTGATGGTTGTTTTGCAATATCTCGTAATGAGCAGTTGGTTCTTCAGAGGGTCGATTTCCAATGAGTCTTGATTTCTGGGATGCCTTGGTTGAATTCCAGTTTCTTTTCTCATCAGTGCATCCTGAGAGGTATATATTGGTGGTTTACGACATACCTGGATCCTGCCTGTATTGGTTGTGTACTACATACCTGGATCCAGGTATGATTCTTGCAAGAATCATACCTGGATCCAGGTATGTAGTACACAACCAATACAGGAATTCCTTTACACGTTGAGGGTATACTTACCATTCCAACCGACTTGGATCAACTGGTCTAAGACACAGTGATGCAAAGTCCCATGGGAGATCATCAGAAATAATGTGACACATGTCGAGACACCACCTTTGTGTTTCTGTTCACAAAATACCATGTCAGAGCTAGTAAAGTCCGATACGATTGCAGAAGATTTTCTCTTGATATATGAAATGACCAATGTTGACTCAGGATTTGTTTCTACAGGGGCAATTTTACTACCACAAGACTGTTAGTAGATCTGGTGCAAGAAACAAACATTTACTTGGTGCAGTATCAACTTCCTGCTTTAACCAGAGCCCAATTTCATTGCTCTGCTAACCACAGAATTCCGCGCTTACGATCACCATTCTGTGCTAACAAGAACAATTCTGTGCTAATCCGGCAACACAATGACGAAGCGCATATTAGCATATTCATTAGCGTCTCTCAGCATGACTTGGAGTGGGTCTCGGTATTGACCCATGGAATCTGGCAAAAAGGGAGATATTTATCAATAAAATCCCCAAAGGGCTGTTTGGGGGTCAAGTATCAAATACCACAGAATACTACCGTAATTTCCTGCGGATAAGGCGCGCGGCGGATAAGGCGCAGGTCCCTAAAATCACCCCAAAAAAATTCAAACGCCAACAGATAAGGCGCACTGCCGCATAAGACGCATGTTTGACCGCACACAGAAGAACACCAGGCGTCACCCGGTGTCGGTACATCGCCACAAAGGGGCCATTGTGTTGCCTTAGAACGATCACACTATTCGGAGGATGAATTATTAAACCGTAACCACATTGGCTGGTCACATGTAGAGCCATGAAGAAAAGACCAATGTAAATTGATACCGACCTTCATCCATTCAGCCAACGCGCGCTGTGCATGCTTGCTTGCGGTTTCCGATCCTTGCCTTCCTTGGCCTTTTGTTAATGCAGTGCGGCCCAATCAGCGGCCAGAAACGATGGTCCACGCGCTGTCTGAAGATATTGCAACACGCACGCTGGATCAGATTCGTAGACTTGCCCAGTCCCTCCGAGCCAGATGTTGCGCCCTCTACCGGTGACTAACGGCCACAAAGAAAAACGTTTGTATGACGGCATTGTTGGAACGAAAGCACGATCACTATTAAAAGGGGGATCAACGCATTGCGGCATTGTTCGAATGAAAGCACGATCATGGGGGATCAACACATCGCGGCATTGTTGGAATGAAAATACGGTCACAATGTCTGGAGAGTTGAGCCTTGGTTGACCGCATTATTGATTGCGGCATTGAAAGAATTCTTCACACAAAGACCGTCACTTTGAACTCAAGCGACACCAGATAAGGCGCACCTGTAGATAAGGCGCAGCGATGTTTTTGTGGTCTAGAAAGTCAGATAAGACGCGTCTTATCCGCAGGAAATTACGGTACATGTGCTGTGCACACTTGTATGGAAAGAAATTCATACTACAGGTTACTCCTCAGTAGTATTTTGTAGGATTGGGGGAGGTTAGGGTTCTTAATAACTCCTGAAGGAGGCTTTTATGCAATTTTTTCCTGCACACCATTATGGATAGGAACCTTATTAATAATCGTGAGGCTTGAAAAGATTGACAGATATTGCAAACACCAGTGTTATAACTTTAAAAAAAGCACGTAGACAGGCCTATTTTTCCAATTTCAACGAAACGTCATGAACATATCATAATGCTTTTTAACACATACTTGGATCATTAAAAGGGAAATAAACCATGAAAGTTGCAAGAAGATACAATCTTCCAAACGGCAGAAATTAATTTTCAAAGATTTCACCCGCCAACATGAACTTGTCTGTGTGCATTTACTTTCATTCCAAATAAAGTGTTACATAACCTATAGAAATTGCCCTTCGCAACCACACAGCTGTAATGGGCCCTTTGAACTATCGAACCTTCGGACAATCGGGCTATCACCAAATAAACATAGGGTTGTGTAGTGTTAAAAATAACAAAGGGAGAATTTTTTAAGTAATTTTATTTTTGGTGTTCAGGCCAATTATCTTTGTTACAATGATTTAAAGGGGCACTAGGTCCTGAAATCCCCGAAAATGTTATGTTTTGGATTGTTTACTTAGCCTATTTCAAACATCTGGTTGAAAGGAAACCAACCTAATGTCTTACTGTTCCCGAGAAAAGACGAAAAAAACCCGCTTGTTTACATCGGACATGACGGAGTACGAATACGTTTTTTTACGTTATATACACGTTATGTGTCTCGGGAACAGCGCTTGGTGACCAATCACCAATGCAAAAAAATTGTGGTTTCTTCAAGGTCGAATTATGGGGTCGCAAAAGTGGACCCCAAAATTCGTTCTCGCACGCATAATACAGGAATAACACAAAAACGCCTAGTTTTGAAAGGATAGTTGTGTGGATGTTTATATCCTACTTTTAAAAGTTATTTCCGATTATCATCATCTCGTTCAAAGCACGTTTTGTAGCCCAATTGGGCTGTTCCAGGACCTAGTGTCCCTTTAAGTGAACCATGCGGTTTGAACAAACGTCCTGCTGTGTAGTGCAGTGCCCATGAAAGTTTTGATTTATTTTTGCCTTGAAACAATAAAGAGAAACCAATTTTTTGTGACCCCAACATTTGTCCAAACTGCCCTTACTAATAATGGCTATTTGCCATGGCAACTGAATATATTATAGATTGAAAATAGTTATTTTGGTTAATTACTTGCCTAGTCCTTCCATCTCACAAATTGATATTTTGACTGTGGAGACTAATGTCAAGTATTTACATGTACCGGTATGTGAAATGTCTCTGTAATGAATTACATACCAAATCAAACTCAAATTTGATTCACACTGATTCATCCAATCATTATTCCCAACAACATACATTAATGTTCTATGCAAAAATCAGATTTAACATCCACAGGAAATTATGGGTGGACTCTAGTTCCTGCAATTCCTTTGACCTGAAATGGGTAGCATTCCAGAACGATTTCCTCATTCTTGCAATTACGCCAAACAACATTTAGAACTTTTTTTAACAATAGTTCTATTTGGGCTGGTAATTAGTCTGCTTCCTTACATGTTTGTGCTAATTAAAAAAAGCGTTTACAGGTTTCAGGTTCCAGATACACATTTGGCTTCCAGACGCACAATTACAAAATCACAACAATGTCTGCAACTGATGCATGACTAAATTTAGTGACAAATATATGGGAGCCCAGAGAGGCCACATAAAGCTTATACTCGACTGGAACCCCATCTAAAAACACATTAAAATTGTGCAGCAGCAGGATTCCAGTCAAACCAGTGAGTTTGGCGGTTTTGAGACATCATCTTATATTGAAAAAAAAAACTTTTTATTTTTGCCGATGCGCATAGCTACAGTGACGCGCCCAGACCAGAAACCAGAGACTTTTTTTGGTTTAAGGGCAAGAAAAACAAAACCACCACTAACCCTTCCCCCCCCCCCAAAAAAAAAACCAACCAAACAAAACAACTAAATGTTCAACTTGCCTGGTTCAGCTGGCCTTTAAGTTTCCGAAATTCCTCAAAAAGCCTGATGGTCTTATTGAGTCCTTCGTCCGTCTCCGTCATTAATCTCTGTAGATTGACTGGGTCATCTTGTTCATCAAACAATGTTTTGTGGGCCTTCCAGTTATTACCCACATACGTAATACTGCTTCCAATGTAAGCCACGTGCTTGGTTATATTTTTAATCAGAGCCATGGATTCTGAATGGCTGTGAACAAAAATAATAAAAAACTTGCTTTAATTATGAGATGTAGTTTGTCCATTGCCTTTTCCTGAATGGTTAATTTCAAATTTTGTGAAATCATTTTAATTAACTCCAATTCCCAAACAAACAAAAATTAGAGATACATGAATCTAAAAAAAAAAATTCACTTGTTGGTATCCTGTTCCTAAAGGAGAAAATCGAGCTCACTTTTGCTTCTGCTGTTTCCCTTTTTCAGATTGTTTTACGTAGTCACATGGTTGGGAGAAAGTAATGCTTCAAATGACGCAGATATTTTAAGTCAATGCTCTCCTAGCTTAGGAGTTTTCAATGGCGTTTCCAGGTTTCCAGCATGCAACTTAGTAGTTGAAACAGAAGAGGAAATTGCCAAGCACACAAAACTTTGTACAATATTTTTCAGTATTCTATGACACTATATTTAAAAATTGATAATAATAACAAAATGGTGATTCAGACTTTGTTTGCTACAATGCATGTCCGAAAGTGTTGCAGATCATGATGGCGGCCATGTTTATTGTGTAAAAAAAAGTGTCAGCACTGCACTAGTCTTCAATACAAGCCTGGTTTCTCCGCTGAGTGAGCGCCACTGATGTACTGAACCGTGTTGTACTGCCGTAATGCACTGCGCGCGTTGTACCAATGTTTACGCTATAAACGCAACCTCGTCCCCATATGCCTGATCTCTCCAATTATCTACTGCTGGAACGAGGTGGACTATCGAGACGCGGATGTCAGGTATCGACCTTTATGAAAAATATTCCACGGGGATCCCAGTCCCATAGGACCCATGGGGGTAATCAAGAACACCATGTAAGTTACAATGAACCCCATGGGAACACCATGGGGATTTATGAACACCATGGGAACACCATGGGGATTTTGTGGACACCATGGGAACACCATGGGGATTTTGTGGACACTACGGGAACACAATGGGGATGTTATGGTCACCATGGGAACACCATGAGGATTTTATTGCCACCATGGGGAACACCATGAGGATTTTATTGCCACCATGGGGACACCATGGGGATTTGACTGACGGCATGGGAACACAATGGGGCTATTCTGGACAACATGTATACGCCAGGGGAACCATAATAGACCAACTTGCAGTCCCAAGTCGCGCAAATCTTCATGCGAGTAGGGGCGTGGAGCTGAAACTATTGCACCAGCTGATGCCTTGGCCGTCTGTTGGCGAAAGGGCTTGAATGGTTTTCTAAGGGCAGGGTGAAATGAGGGAGCACCTCTCCTTGCCTTCTTCCCAGAGAACTTGGGCTTGTTAGTAGCTGAAGGCTTCTTCAAGCTCAGTTTGTCCGCTGTTTTGGCTTGAACTTCCAGAATTTCCTGGAATTTGCCACCGAAAAGGTCTTTGCCCATAAGAGGAAGGTCTTGTAACTTCTTCTTAGCGCCTTCGTGTGGTATGTAAAGTGCCTCTATCACGTTAGTCCTACGTGATTTGGCGGACAAGATAGAGATTTTCGTAAGCTGATCTAGAGAAAAACGAAGTATTTCGTCCAGACATCGGAAGGCTGCTGCTAACATATCGGCTGGAATTTGTGAATCCTCCTCACAGGCGCAGACGATATATTCAGATAATAAAAGTAAAAAGGCGCTTGTTTTGAGCCAAATCTAGCCGCCTCATCGACTTTCTTCATTGTATCCTCCATCTTTGCTCTAGTCTTATCGACAAATATTGACTTGGTCGGGGCTTTGCCGCTATCTCCAGTCAATTTGTCTTTGGCCATATCCGGAATAGCAAGAACCTATTTCTCGGTCCTTTTCTGGAAACAGGAAATAGGCTGCCGACCTTTTGTTGAAAGCAGTCCATTTCTTTGAATGGGCGATCCGTTGGATGCAATCAGCGCATAAACGATCCACTGGCATAGCTGGGAAAGCTGGATCTCGAGGTTCCTCCACGCCAGTCCAGCATTTGAAAGAACGACGGGTGGTCTCTGGTTTACTGCTCTCTGGTAGTTGCAGTACCCGAACCATATCTATTTGAACCAGCCTCAGCTGAGTCTCAAATGGCGAAAATTGCCAGGGTCAGTGGCCTCTTCATCCCCAGAACACCCATCTTGCGAGTGAGTGGAAGGGGGGTGAGTACTATCGACATCTATGTCAGGAACATCTTGAACAGAAGTGCCCAAATTCATAGATGGGTGTAAAGTAGCCCCATAAATGTGGCCAATTTACTGGACTACCTTCGTAAACATAGGCGACACAATCCACCATTTACAAAAACATGTCAAACTTTGTTAAATTTTGATTTTCACATTTAGGCTTAATTTGTAGATTGTTTTGCTTAAGAAGCATACTGACCCTCTTTATAGGCCAATTAGAAAGTGATGCCTCTTTCAGATGTCTATTTTTTGTGAAATTTCCAGATTCGTTTGCCCACTTTTGCGTATCAAAATTTCAACGTGAAATTTCATGAAAATTAGACATCCGGAAAAGGCAGCACTTTATGATTAGCCTATGAAGAGGGTGAGTATGCTTCTCAAGAAAAAATCCTACAAATTAAGCCTAAATGTGAAAATCAAAATTTGACAAAGTTCGACATGTTTTTGTACATGGTGGATGTGTGGCCTATGTTTACGGAGGTAGTCCAGTAAATTGGCCACATTTATGGGGCTAGGTGTAAAGAAATTCCACCCTGTGATCTCGGGGGCGCCCAATCACGGACGGAGTAGGTGGATTATCGGAGCTGACACTAATGGCAACCCCAGGATCTGGGGGCCCAGTGTGTTCCCTTCTTATCCCGCCCGAATTCGGCAGGATTACGCCCGGATCCGGCTGAATTAAGCCAGATCCGGCCGGACCACGCCCGGATCCGGCCGGATTAGACCCTGATCTGGGTCCGGAAATGTGGCCGCCGGGAGTGACCTCCCAGTCACCGCTGGGGCCGATCTCCATTGTTGTTGTTTAGTGAGGGCTGCTAGTGAAAGATTGATGTCCTGGAAAGCTTTTAGAAAGATTTCCGTGGATACACCTTTGTTTTTCTTTTGCCGATGCGTTGACTTATGGGTGGAATCCCCTGAAGAAGACGGCGCTGCCTTTGTTTCCTTTTCTTACTTGGGTGACTTGATTCACTTGACTGTGAAAACTCCGATAATATGCTGGGAATTCCAGAGCATTGATCAAAGAATGACGTTGACTGCGAGTCCGTGGTCCAAATTGGGGGAGGAGGCAAGTCAGTCACGGCGAGTCCTGCCCGTTCGAGCAACTAGTGGTCCCTTTTTGGGTCTTACCGTTGAGACCACTGGTGGCCTTTGATGCGGTCTTTTTAACCGCGGGATCCTTACGGCTGGTCGCCTGGGGGCCGCGGTTGTACGGGGAGTTTTATCCCCGGTGCCCTCATGGTGTTCCATACCGTAGGATGTATGTCTGATGCTGGCCAAAACGTGTAACACGGGATGACCGTTACAGACTACAGCGATGTCCCTGCGTGGGGACTCACTGCTATCTCGTCTTTTCGTACTATTGTACTACTGAGATATATGCAGTTGAGAACAGCCAAGGGGAAGGGAACGACCGCTGGTTGATGTACCCCCACTGTACGCGTCTTGCTAGGCGCTAGCTCACTGCGAGCTTAGGGGAAACGAACGGAGAACAGGGAACGGCCGAAACCGCTGTATTCCTCAAAACATTTCGCTAGTCCCCTGAATGGCTGAAAGTCTGACTTCCGGAACAGGGGCCCCACGTGTGGGGCGACTAGCCGACCTTGTGGAGAATAACCGCACTTCTCTCCGCGGATACAATGCACTGTCTCCCCTAAGGCCTTTATGGATTCGTCCATGTATGTAGTCATAAATTAAATGTACTGCTTTTTTTTCTTTTTTTCTTTTTTGAAATTAATAATTATGAAATTATTATTTTTGACAAAGAAATATTATTATTAGATAACTGTAAAACAGAAATAATACTAACTTAGGAAAGCCGACTCGGCTATAAAGGGATTGCACTTGATCCCAAAGGGAGAACCCACGATGCCTACCCGGCACTGGGTTAGCCCCGCAGTGCCGACCTGGCCCGCCACACGTGGTGTCTGACAAAGGCTGAAAAACCTGCTACGCCACGAATGAAAGCAAAAAGACTCCAAATGAGAACTACTTACTCAAACCAAACTCTACAGATTCTACACAACTCACTTGGTTGATAAATTCTATAAAACAGAAACTCTTCAAGCGAAAATTGTACAAAAACTCGTCAAAAGGCGAGAGCAAAATTTTTTGCTTCTGCACGATGCCGCGCTAGAAATAAAGAGAAAGTATAATGGCAGATTCATGACGTAACATAATGGGTAGGCCCCGAGAGGGCGCTCGTTGGTTGATTAAATCTTTTAGCGTTTGAGCCTGTCGGCTGAATAAATATGCATATGTAGTAGCTATTTGGGTAAGTGAATGAAGTAGACTAACTCTGTTACTGATTCAATTAAAAAAAGAAACTCAAATTTTGAAATATACTTTCCTCGTGGGCTGTTATAGCTCATACTTATCGACCAAGTCACACTTGTTGCCAGAAAACTAAGCTTTGTTGTGGTCACATGACACAAACTTTCACGAGGAAAAAGCAATGTAATTTATTGTTTATATCTTGAAACACAGTCTATCTAATGCTAGCAAAAGTTTGAATTTCTTTTTGGGGTTGATCAAGTGACCCTTCAGATTCTGAAAAAAGCCAAAATGAACGTTACCCTAAAAAATAATTTGTGTGATGGTGCATTTATGTTTCTTTGAAATTATAACAACTGTAACAACAGTTGCTACTGACAGGCTTCAAACCAATCAGAATTGTTCAACGTCTGAGGAATTAGTGAATGCAAATTTAAAGGCAAATTTGTTTTATTCAAGGACATACATGATCCTTAAAGTGAACTGAACTGATTCCTTTAATGAGTTCAAAGTTGACAACTGGTCTTGTACATTACTCATGTACATGTAGAAATAGGCTTATCTGAAAATTTATGCTGACGTCATACTATAAGGAACACAGTGAGGCTAGGTTTCCTTGATTTTCAAGATGTCGATCCAAGCACAGCACGGTCCCATAGCCATCCGTACAGCACAGGGGTGTTTTCATTTATCTTTATTTAAAAACTTATATTGAGAGAACAAAAAGTTACACTTTCTGTACTACCGGTATGTGTGCATGCCCAACATACGGGACTGTTCAGTCAGCTAAGTTGATACACAAGCAACTTATTGCAGCATAAGTGGAGAGCGCATAAAATACGGAAATACATTATTCACAATGGAAAGCAGTGGCAGTGTGGTGTGGTTGGGTTATATTCTGGGTCCTGCAAAGGGCACTTTTAAACTGCTTGCTGAACCAGAATTGAATCATTGTTTATATTTTAACCTTGCTGAACCAAACTTAAATTTGAGGGTTGACTAAATTTGACATAAATTATTAAACGGTGTCTTTATGTTATATTATTATAAAACATATGTTGATGGAATGTTGAAATATTTAACAACTAGAGAGCAACTGTTATTTGTCAAATATTGAGACATTTTTAAACAAGCTTATCCCAAAACTCAAAGAGCATAATACCTATACTAAATGCACATTAAACATGTTAAACTAAAACAGCACAGATGCACATAAAGAAAAAAAACTGCAAATCATACATTAAATTAAGTTTTTCCCCAAAGGTTGGAGATTATGTTATGCATTACCGACCTGAGAATCCTTTTGCCAGTGGCCTGCACACTTCCTGGTTCCCATTTTCTTTTGTGAATTTCCTGTACAGCATCCATTATCTTTTGTCGCCATCCGTACTTGTTTATGCCTATCTGTTGGTCAAACAACCCCCCAAGAAACAAACAAAAATTACATTATATGCAGGACAACAAACTTGACTTGAAAGGTGACTTTTAACTGCAGCTTACATTATTCCATTAAATTGGAAGGGTTAGTGCACACTGCATAGATTCTTTGCATTCCAGCAATCCTTAAGGCGCTTGCTTCTGTTCCACTGGGATATGCAGCCAAACCGCCCAACTGAACTAAAATTCGCTGAACGTAACACTCTGAACCAAACCAGACCGAACCAAACTGAATTGTTCAGTTTGACTGTCCGGAAACAAGATATTAGCGCCGTGTTTTTTAAAAAGTGCAATCAAAATAATCAAAATTTGCACCTAAAATTATCAAATTTTACTTCTAATTAAAATAAAAATATATTTTAGGCTGACAGTACGACATAAAATGGAAGGAAATTCACGTAGGCCTAATGTACTTGCAATCATTAAAGTGCACGTACAAAGTACAACTGCAACAACCATGGACTGAGCTAGGGTGGATCATGGACTGAGCAACGACATATGGAGATGTGTACACGCCACTGGCACTGCTCAAATGTTACAAATCAAAATTCAATGCTTGGAATAAATACACGTACATGTTAACAGAAACAAGTCAGGTGTGTTTACAAACACAAATGCCCCGCAACTGTGACTGTTCCCATGACTTACCACCACTCTTTTAACATCAACTCATGTACATGTACTTGGGTCACATGGAACGTTTATTGACAGCATCAGTGTTTTCTGTAGGTTTTATATGATTCAATCCCTATGATCTCAGAATAAATACAAGATTTCTATTATTTTAGCCACTGTGACTTTGACCCTTGATATTTCTGTCCAAAATGCAATAGGCTTCTTAGGATTACCAAGAACAATCCACATACCAAATTTGAAGTTCACATGTAAAGTATTTCTCAAGTTATCGCGCTGACAAAATGTCTTTTGTTTTAGCCACTGTGACCTTGACCCTGGACCTTTCAACCCCCAATGCAATAGGCTTCTAATGATTGCCAAAAACAATCCACAAACCAAATTTGAAGTTCACATGTAAAGTATTTCTCAAGTTATCATGCTGACAAAATTTCTTTTGTTGTAGCCACTGTGACCTTGACCCTAAACCTTTCGACCCCCAATGCAATAGGCTTCTTAGGATTGCCACTGTGACCTTGACCCTGGACCTTTCAACCCCCAATACAATAGGCTTCTAAGGATTGCCAAAAACAATCCACAAACCAAATTTGAAGTTCACATGTAAAGTATTTCTCAAGTTATCACGCTGACAAAATTTCTTTTATTTTAGCCACTGTGACCTTGACCCTTGACCTTTCGGCCCCCAATGCAATAGGCTTCTTAGGATTGCCAAGAACAATCCACAAACCAAATTTGAAATTCACATGTAAAGTATTTCTCAAGTTATCGCGCTGACAAGATTTATCCGGACACACACACCCACCCACCCATCCCACCCGCTTACATAGGCATAGAAGTGGGGTACTTCCTTTGTTCTCGTGAACTAAAATTTTGCAACGTCGCACACTTATGTCAAAATGCTCTTATTTTAACCATAGTTAATTTCCTGGACTGAAATTCGGACTCGATATCTCTTTTCTAAAACTCTTCCACTTGCGACACATCAACCCACCTTGGAAATTCCTAGTTTTTGAGTAAAATCCATATCTATTTCGTGAAAAACTTGTGGGGTACCAAAACGGTACCCCGCAAGTCGGTGGGCATTCCTTGTGGGGTACCTCCCATTGTTCCGGTACCCCACAAGGCGAAACTCGTGTAAACTCTAAAAATAACAGCGTTGCTGTTGAAACCCCTCAGCCAGAGTCAGGTTATCATCCGGGAACCATTAACATTTAACTCACCACGGTGACCTTGACCTTTGACCTTTTGACCCCAAAACCAATCCCAACTTGCCTACTCCCAAGGGCAACACCCTACCAAAGTTAGACATAAAAATCTTATTTCTAACTCAAGTTATCATCCGGAAACCATTTACCTTGAATTCACCATGCTGACCTTGACCTTTGACCTTGTGACCCCAAAACCAATCCCAACTTGCCTACTCCCAAGAGTAACCCTCTACAAAAGTTAGACCCCAAAATCTCATTTCTAACTCAATTATCATCCTGTAACCATTTATCTTTAACTCACCATGGTGACCTTGACCTTTGACCTTTTGACCCCAAAACCAATCCCAACTTGCCTAACACCAAGGGCAACCCTCTACCAAAGTTAGACACCAAAATCTCATTTCTAACTCAAGTTATCATCAGGAAACCATTTACCTTTAACTCACCACGGTGACCTTGACCTTTGACCTTTTGACCTCAAAACCAATCCCAACTTGCCTACTCCCAAGGGTAACCCTCTACCAAAGTTAGACACCAAAATCTCATTTCTAACTCAAGTTATCATCCGGAAACCATTTACCTTTAACTCACCATGGTGACCTTGACCTTTGACCTTTTGACCCCAAAACCAATCCCAACTTGCCTACTCCCAAGGGCAACCCTCTACCAAAGTTAGACACCAAAATCTCATTTCTAACTCAAGTTATCATCCGGAAACCATGTACCTTTAACTCACCACGGTGACCTTGACCTTTGACCTTTTGACCTCAAAACCAATCCCAACTTGCCTACTCCCAAGGGCAACCCCCTACCGAAGTTACAACCCCAAACGACATTTTAAACTCAAGTTATCATCCGGAAACCAAGCTACCCGGACGACGGACGGACGGACGGACGGACGGACGGACATACATCCGGACGGACGGACGCCCTAGGCGATGACAATACCCCTCGAGCCTCTCGGCTGAGGGGTAAAAAGCATGCTAAAACCGAAATGAATATCCCACTTGTTTTTGTTCTACCCTATACCCACAAATAAAACACCCAGCTCTCAAGCAGGCCCTTCTAAAAGCACTGGGATCTGATCAGCGATAATGACTTTCTCCATGCACTCTTTGTGACCAAACCCATCCTGGCATACAAACGACAAAAAAAACACATGAAAGATGGCCTGGTCTGATCAAGGATTAACCCATCTCCACCATCCAACCAAGAAAAAAACTTGAATGATGAGAACGTAACAAACAATGTTTTCAAAAAGATTCATCAGCTCGCAGAGCCTCTCGTCCTCCAATTTGATTCACATCCCATAAAATGTAAAGAATGAGGAACGGCCCTGTTAATGCTGATAGCAAATCCCATCTTCCTCCCCTTTATAAACCCTAATTCACGGCGGAAACCTTCTTGGAATGACTTTGGAATTTTCGAACAAGATATTAGTATCAACAGATTGTTCCCTGAATTTTGCTCGCACAAAACCGGTTCTTCCTTGGTATTTTCTTTACGTGTCCTCAATTAATCGATGATGTTGCAAGTGTGTGTCCTAGATTTACACCATAAAACTACTCACACAGACGTGAATTTCTACACTCTCGAGGAACAATGCTTTGTGTTTCCTTAATATTACACTTTCTTATAGACTAAGCACATAACCGTATGATCGAGGACCATTTTCAACAAAAGACCTAATGCTAGAGGACTGAAAGAATCTTTTGTTCTCCCTTTGGGTGTCTATCCTTGATCATTAAGCCACACAAGAGCACAGTACAAGGCGGAAACAGTATGCCCCTTGATTTCGTCGCGGGGCGTAAAAACTAGAACAGCAGTACCTTTTCCAGATCTTCCTCTGACATCTGTAGGAGGACAGAGAACTTGATTGCTTGCTGATGAAAACAATGGCTGAGGTGACCAAGGTCTAAACCACAGAGAAACAGGTCCAGGTCATCACATCCTTCTCCATAAGCACTGCTGATCTGGTTTGTAGATAAAGAGTTTTCTGGTTGCATTTGAATGGGCCTGCATGATTGGAAGCAAACATTTTGTCAAGGTTAGTGGAAATAAGCTTTTGGTTGAGGCAAAAGAACATTTATGGCAATTAATTCAGTGTATTGTGCTCATTGTTGCTTTCAAACGAATAATTTCAGTACTGTTTTAATATCTGATCCTCAATAGCAAAAGACAAATTTGCTGGCCCCATTACATGCAGAAGTGAACTTTGAATGTATGTATACATTTGGTCTTCACAAAAACAAATTTCATCTGGTTGGATTAAATTTGTACCCTTTTTTTCTCCACATTTTGTGAATGTTTCTGGCAAGCTCTCGGGCAACGCTGCGTACACAGTGTTTATAAAATATGTCGGTGAAGGGCAGGGCCAAATGTTGGATTTGCATCACCCTGATGTAAATTCTAAACCTACTTAATAACATTTTCACATTTTTTAAGTCCCGTGTGTGCAGTAATAGTACACAAAACACTGACTGCTTTGAGTGGTGTAGTAAAACTAGCCTCCCGAGGTGATCCATGAAGCATTCCATTTGTCCCGAGGCCAAGCCGAGGAAAAATAGAATGCTCCATGGCTCACCAAGGGATGCTTGTTTTACTACACCACGAGATCAAGCAGTCAATATTTGTTTTATAACACCTTTCCCACACATTCTGCTTGACTCTAAGCAAAAACTGATTAATTTAATCTAAATATAGGTTTTCCAGGACAATTTTGGAAAATGTGCATTTGAATTTGTAAAACATAAATTCATCCTGGTTTAATTTTTGCAATAACTAGCATTCAATTTCATTTTGCTTCATTCAAATAAATGAATGTGCATAACGTTTCATTTAAAGGATTGCAAGGATTAGGCATTCGGTTTGACGGATGCGTTACCGATTATTACGAATGTGCAATCCAATTCGCAGAAAATGTTTGTTTTATTGCGACATGGGCTAAATTGAACATTCGTTTTCATTTGTTACAATTTAAATTCACATATTCTTTATTCAATTTAATTAAAAATATACAGGCCTATGCAAATCATGATACAACTTTGATTGATTCATTAATTTATCAATGTATTGTAGGCCTAATTGAGCATTAATGCGTTTGTTCTTATAAATATATATACAAAGGCCTATTTCAAATAGGCAAATGAAATGTTAAAAAGATATAAATCTTACCAAAATAAAATCAATCAAAATAATCTTGTAGGCATATTAGGTATTGGGACGGTAAAGGAAACATCATGTGTCATATTACAGGGGATATCTGGGAACTTTTTATTGTTGGTTCCTTGTCTTAATTGTATTTTAATGTCTTTCTGTATTTCTTAAAGTTCTCTCTCATTTATCAGTTCGATTTGCTTGGTGAAATGATGCGATCATGGCACATGCTGAGCGAACAAAGAACGATTGTCTTCAGCTTAGATTTGTATATAGGATTTATTACAATAGTTGGTATGTTTCAAAAGGCTACACCAATTGGTTTAGTTCAATCATCATGAATATTCAAACATTCTATCTTTCAATCAAAAGTTCCTCAAATGTTACTTTTGTGAACACATAAATGAATTCCAATGCTTGACCAGTTAAGTAACACTGCACGGGAAGTCGGCTGCTAAAATGAAATGTCAATATACTAAATTCAGTGCACATTCGGGAAATCATACGCTGATTATTTAAGACTGAATGCCCCTTCATGGAAATAGAATTATCATTTGTTAAACAAAAACAGGGATTTGGAACATTCATTCTATTTCCCACGAAAAAGAATGCTAGTTTTACAAATTCATCTACACATTTTCCAAAATTGTCTGGAAAAACCTATACAATTTAAGTCTATTTCAATTTAAAAGGAAATAAGTTGAAAATTTACTTGCACTTTTCAAGCCACCCCTTAACAAAATGTTTGAACCCAGCTCTGTAGCACTAGCACTTGGGAACAGTATGTGTAATGTGCACACCCATGTATGCATTTGTACACAATACCGGTTCTTATATATAGTACTCTGGTTGCTACGGGTACACATTGGCGGATCCAGGGGGGTGCTACGGGGGCGTGCGCCCCCCCCCCCCCCCCGGCAGTGACCAAAATTTTGTAAAATAAGGCCATTTTCCAGGGGCGCCCCCCCCGGCATGAACCTCTCTGAATCCGCCACTGGTACAGTACTTTTGGCTGTGCACAGCGAAATAGCAAAAATAGCAAATGCCATGTGATTTGCTCTTGGCCAATCAAGATACAGAATCTGTGGGTGAACTTTTATAATGGGCCTTAAAGAGGTTGTGGAATTCTAAATGTCAAATTATTGTAGAGTAGACCCATGGTACATCATATAACTATACCTCATACATATTCATGACCGAGAGCCAAACTTTCACTGGTCAATTCACCATCACGTGCCAGATGTTATTCTTGCAGTTTACCAAACGCGCGCGTGAGGATTCACACACAGGCTAAATACGCATGCGTAGTAGGCTGTCGCATGGGTTATCCGTGCGACAGTCTACTACGCATGCGCTTTACAAAGCAATCGAGGAACTGTCGCATGAGAGATGCTTGATTGCACGGTTCGCGTAAATTCATGAAATTATATAGTTGCCGGACTACGGTTTCTCCAAGATTGGCCATAGACAAGTGGTCCAAAAACAGTCTTCCCTACAAGTCACTATTATCATATCTCAGTTATTTCTTGTACGGTATTAAAAATTCTAGCGGCATTGTACTAAGAGTTACCTGAACTTTGAAGTTTTACAAAACATACATGTAGCTCTCCTACATACATTTGAAATATGGTGTGTCACAGTGTGGTCCCATCCGCACCCCGATGGGGCCAAGCTGGGGCAGCCGGGGCCGGCCAGAGAATATGGCTCATCACATGGTAGTCTTAGACTGTTGCGATCGGGTGTCAGTACGGCACCACTATTGTTTTCCTGTACAGTCTTGTAGCAATTCCAAATTCTCTCTTTGAGCAAAGAAGACTGTACGAAAAGTCTTGCCGTACAAAATGTACAGTGCATGAATCAGCCGCTCCGTTTGGTTGAAATCTGCAGACAAACTGGCGCCCAGATGGGAAAATTAGAAATTTATTGCAAAAAAATGTTGTGTGATTACAGCCGGCCACCGACACAACTAACGAGAATGATAGGCTTGCCTTGGCCAAGCCTTGCCTGATGTGTTCACTATCATACGTACGTATCCACAACAAATTTTTTTGAATTTCCAAAACTTTTACCAGCGTCAAAATCTTGTCCCCGCGATGGCGCATTAGTGCGCCCGTGAAATTCCAGTTTTATGTACCGGTAAATTGTCATGTTCAGGATGCTAAAAAAAATAGCGTGCATGAACGATATTATTATAAGATGGAATTTTGCGTCGGGGTGATATAAATCAAATTAGGTTTTGCCCTTCACCGACGTTTAAACACTGTATACTCAGAGGGCTCCGGAAAACGCAACGATTGCCCGCCAATTAGGCAAACTCGAGCTCAATCTCGGGCTCTACAGGTATTGCTGAATCCACAAGACGGCATGCAACAGCACCGCACAAGCGCGGGTCCTTTCAGCTCCAGCCCGGCTATCGGTGAAACGGAACAGCGCCCTCAAGCGGCCGCCATTCCGGCCACTAACGACACAACACGATCGATCAACTCGAGGGTCGCTGGCGCGGCCGACGCAGCACTTTTCGGCAATGTCCCCAATGTCTCCCCCAACCTGGTACGGGACAGAACTCCTCAGCACCCAAGGGACGATCAGGCCAACCCACTTGCATACCAGGAACTTCGTCTAACTTGGAAACAATCTCGCAAGCTTTCCAGCCCAACAACTTCCAGCCCCAGTACAGCCATGACAGCAGTCGCGGAACGGGGTCTGGAACTGCACAAGCGCCCAGCAGTCGATGTTTGGCAACCAGTACAGCCTCTGGTGCCGCCACCGCATGACCGGCAGCTCTGGTCCCTCCACCAGCCCGAACCCATCAGCCAGCCTCCCTCACTTCTGGTGCTCATGGAACCACCTTTTCCGGGCTCTCGACATATGCCAGGTGGCTATTGTGCATTAAACGCTCGGCGTGGAAGGACCGAAGCATACCCAAAAATCTTTGTCTGGTTTTTCTCAACCTCTCTAGGGCCAATGATTTCATGAATTATTTTGAGAATATAATCACCTGCATTTCTACTGAAAACAAACATAGTATTCTTGCTGGAGACCTAAATATTAAACCTTCTAAATTATGAAGATAATACTTCAGTTCAAAATTTCATTGACATTATGTTTTCACACTCTTTTATTCCACTCACGGATAAAGCCACAAGAGTAACCCGAACTTCAGCTACTCTAATTGACAATATTATTCACCAACGTTTTACCCATATTAACAAGCTCTATTATTTTAACTTCGGATATTAGTGACCATTTTCCAATCATCACCTCACTACCAATGGCAAGAATCTCTAATATTACAGTTAAAGGGAATATACAACACTTGCAAACATCGAAAAACAAAACTACCAATTTTTTTACGAAATACCTTACTAGGATGTTGGTAAATGAAAGTCTAAAGCACCCTGTAAAATTATGTCACCAGGTGTGAAGTCATTTTCAAGAAACTGGTATTTTGTATCAATTTCCAACGGTGGTCGGCCGACCACTGTTGGAAAAACCTAACTATTTTTCAGCTATTGCTCCAAATTTACCATTTTTTCCGGCATCTATAAATTGATCCATTTCATCTTTAGTGGAGTCAGGGAACCAGACTACTTAAACATTTTTGTTTTTTTTTGTTTTTTTCCAGCATTTTCGAACACAAAACTTCAAACATGTCAGTGTAACAATATTTGATCTGTTATACTAACCCCTCAAAATAGTTCATTTCTGAAAATTACAGCAAAAGCCAATGATGTACATTCCCTTTAACAAAAATCCAACTGATGATCCTCAAATTATGGCTGACAAATTCAATAATTTTTTTGTAAACATAGGACCAAATCTGGCAAGAAATATTGCCCAATGCAAAAATGCATTCACTG